TGCTCCTGCGGCGGTACAGGCACCCCTCAGCTACTTGGCCCCCACCCCGTGCCCATCTCCATGGCCCCCATGGCTGCCCAGAGGACCCTGCAGGGAAGCCAGCCCCTCCCCATGCTGAGAAGTGGCACACAGCACATGCAAGTCCCCATGCAGGAGCTCAGCAGCTCTCACACGTGCCCGTGCAGGGGAGGGCAGAGCCAGCGCTCAGCGCCCCACGGGCAGAGGCCCCAACAGGGAGAGGGGCACCTGGGCACAGGGACACAGGAGGGGTCAGTGCAGAGGAGCTGGGGGGAGGGCGGGCCAGCCCTGGGAGGGTGGGTGTTGGGAAATAGCCGCAGTCCCTGGGACAGACCCACTCCATCACACACACACACGCGCACACGCACACGCACGCATGTTCAGTCCCCAGACAGCCTCGATATCGCTCCAAGTCACACACAGAGACAGACGCCGTCACACAGGGACACACAGACGGACACAGCCGGGGGGTGAACTAGGAGCCCACCATCCCTCCATCCCTCTTGCCTCCCATTCACACACACACACACGCGCGCGCCCGCGCACACGCACACTGACACAGCCTCACTGACACACGCACAGTCGCACAGTGACACGCAGCGGAAAAAGGGGAGGGGAGGAGGGGAGGGGAGGGGAGGGGAGGCCCCGCTGCGTGTGCGATGGAGGGGCTGTCTGTGAATGGCAGAGGGCTATGAATGGGGGACTCGCCAACTCCGGGAGAGCGGTGGGGCTACGGGCTGTCCTGGCGGAAGGCCCCGGAGCTCCCCGGGAGGGCCCCACCGTGTGGGCGCCAGGACCACAGGGAGGGGAGTGGGCTTCAAACCCAGAGGCGGGGTCCGCAGGGCCTGGCCGGGGAAGGTCTTGGGAGAAGAGCCAAGGGGGGAGAGGGCTATGAATGGGGGACTCGCCAACTCCGGGAGAGCGGTGGGGCTACGGGCTGTCCTGGCGGAAGGCCCCGGAGCTCCCCGGGAGGGCCCCACCGTGTGGGCGCCAGGACCACAGGGAGGGGAGTGGGCTTCAAACCCAGAGGCGGGGTCCGCAGGGCCTGGCCGGGGAAGGTCTTGGGAGAAGAGCCAAGGGGGGCCTGGAAGGCCGCGAGGGGGAGGAGGACAGAGCCCCAGGGCTGAGGGAATGGGGGGTGTCGGACAGAGGGGCCCAGGGCAGGATATGGAGAGGGGTTGAGAAGACGAGTCCGAAAGGGTCCGGGCGACGGAGGGGAGGGGGCGGCTCGGGAGGGAAGGACCCCAGGCGGGGGATGAGCGGCTGGGGAGGGTCGTCACAGCGCCGGGGCCTCCGGCCGGCCGCGATGGAAGGGGCGGCGCGCTCCGTTACCTGTAGATGTACCCGACGCTGCGCCGCCGGGGCCCCACG